CACATGTCTGTGCCTTATGGGCCTCATCTTATGCCTGAAGAGCTATCAAAACCAAATCCCATGCTTGAGGAGCACTTATCCTGGCTAGGTTTTCCAAGTAGAGTGCAAGTAAGTTGCACGGACTTAAATAGCCTATTTAAATTCCTTTTTGTGAAAGGAAACATTGATAAAAGTAACCCTGATCGACCGAACCTTTACAAAAATTTTGTTTTCATACAAAAAGTTACAAATTATCGGGCCCAATATCAGGCGATAGATTATAATGCATCCCTCTCTCTAATACACATTCTCTTCTCTGACCTGGTATGTGTAAATTGTAATTTTTCAGCCTCCATTCCAATCATGCAGCTGAACTCTACATATTTCCGGTTCGCAATGAATTTAGCTCTATTGCTTCCAAGAGATTCTGGTCCATGAAACGAAATGGAATCTATTTCTACGATTATCCAAAAGAAAAAGGAAAATATACATTTATATTTGTCTAATCCTTCAATCAATAGCACCCAGACTCGTGTTCCCAAAACTGATAATTCATTCAAAAACGTAGAAACCATTTAGCTCATTCAATAATTTGATTCTACAAATCTTCCTGTTTTCCAGAGAAATGCTAAATAAAACTGTTGAAGAGGAATCTCTTCCTATTTGAACTCTTTTGACCGCATGACATAATAATATAAGAAAGAGACTAAACTATACATATTTTCTTTTTTTTTTTGTTCCTGAGGACCTCCNTGAAGAGGAATCTCTTCCTATTTGAACTCTTTTGACCGCATGACATAATAATATAAGAAAGAGACTAAACTATACATATTTTTTTTTTTTTTTTGTTCCTGAGGACCTCCAGCTGTGTACGTTCCATTTGTGATTATGAATACTGAAATATTCTATCCTTTTTAGAGCGGAAGGCAAGATAATTTAAGTTATGAATTTTTTCTACTTATCATTTTTGATACAGTATCCCTCCCCCACTAGGCCAGAAATTACTCTCCTGAGTAATCGGATGTGGAGAGTCTCCAGCACTTTGAATTCTTCTCCACAGATCCGTCGTTGTCTCGTTCCTTCTCGCCGATTTTGATGAGAGTCACCTGGATGACTTTCCTGTACTGTCGCTGGTTCGTTATCGGTCAGCTGATGAAAATGATCTCCTGCGATCATGTAGCCGGGCGTCGTCCTCTGAGAACCTTGACACTTCGTTGGTCTCGGTGATTCACCATCCTCAATCCATATGACCGATATACTGTCATCTCATTGAGAGTAAGAATCGGATGAAGGGCGTACATCAGCTGTTGGTTTGGCTGCACTCCGGTCAGTTAGTGCTGATATTCCTCCAGGATCAAATGACCAACGCGTTATCGGCCAGTGGTCGGCACTCGCCACACTTCCAAAGATTGCATTCTCCGGATGGGATTTCACTGTTTGCTGAAGTTCTTTTTTAAATANCACTGTTCATATTGGGAACTGCAACTCCCCCTATTTTTCCATTGCACTCAACCATTTCCTCACTGCCTCGAGGTCTCGATTCTCTTGCTTCGGTCTCGGCCACATGGAGGTCAGCTGACGGCGATGCGTCGCCTGGGTCAGGTTGCCAGCGCCTTATCTCTGGGTTGCCTCGCTCCGCTATTTCTGCAAGTTGTTCATAGCGATCATCTAATGAAGATACTCTTTCTCCACTTATTCCGAAATTGATGGTCGCAATAGTTGATAGTGGTGAGGGTTTTTCACTCAATCCGAAAGGTGAATCAGGTGGGGCCTGTCGATCGACTATAGCTTCGACAGCTGAGACATCAACTGATGCTCGCATTCCTCCTGGATCGAGTAACTGATGCCTTGTCTCCGAACCTTCCTCGTCTCCATAGACTAGTGCAGGTCCACTAACATAAATATCCGAATATTTTTCAACCATGTCTTCTGCGATTTTATCGTATTTGGATGTCTGCGGCGCCGGTTTCTCGACAGTCTTAGTGAGAGATTGTTGCCAGCGTCGCCCATAAATTTGATCCCAATGGTCGGTCATACTTGCACCTTGCATTATTCGAACTGGAGGGTTGACCTTGTTGATTTGTTGTGTTGGAGTCCCAGACTCCCAAGATGTAGATGTATTTCTAATGATTGAACCTGCATATGGCGGATATTTTGAAGCTTTTGCAGTATCCCATGGTGTGTACATCATGCGATACTCGTCAGAAGTACTCAACGTATCTGATATCATGCTCCGACCTTCTCGGAACTCTTGATCATCCCTCATGACGGTTGAGGAGAAGTACGATGATGTCCAATTTCCATAGCTGGTGAAAACATTCGATTGCATGGCAATCGTTGTGGAATGTGATTTTTTTGTCATCAAAACTCTTGGATCGCTACTGTAGCGTCCCTTGTCGACAGAATATTTCTGTCGTATCCCTGGGTTAGCGACTTTTCTTCAGTCGCGTACTGGGTCGAGCTGTACCTTTGCTGACCCAATACCCCGTGTCTCTGGAATCCTTATTCCAGATGATGACCCTCGATACTTCAACAAAGTCACTGAGGACTTCCGATATGTAAAATCACTAATTCCAGATTATTCCACAGCAATGTCGGATTCACCAGTATCCGGTTCTCGGACTCTTTCGCGCATTATACCGAACTCACTTAATTTTTCCCGATAATCCTTCAGTTCCCACCGCACGTCACATAAAAATGTTCACAAAACTTTAGTTCTCGCATTCCATTCCCCGAAATGAGTGCCCCACGTCGGGCGCCATTGTGACGTTTTGAGTTAGATCACCCACCACATTAATCCTGGGTGGAAAGCTTATTTCTATTTGTGACTAGTCCCAGGGACTAGTCACAAATAGAAATAAGCTTTCCTTTCCTAGGGCCGTCGTACCCTATGTTGACCGGCTAACTATCGCGTGGGATTCACTCAAGTTGGGAATGATAAGGGAATTGGAAGGTATTGTAGCGAAGATAAATACACGATTAACTGGTAAAACTATGGTATATTTAACTCAACTACTAACTATGATACACGACACTGTTATTGATGGGTTCGGTAAACGCGTTATTAAGAGATCGGACTTAGACTTATGAGCTTGGAGATCCGCTCCACTTCGCTCCTGATCGTACTCTCTCCCCTATTCCAGAGTCTTTGTAAAATGCTCAAAACCTAAAATTGCAGAGCAAGCAGTCTCACAGTCCCGAAACACTAAGACAATTAAGTGCCATCATTGACACACAACTAGAACATTCAAACAGCTTCTTTACCGAGAAGCTGGACTCAGATGGCACCGTGAGAGTGCTGAGCTCTGCTCCTGCACGATGAGAAAGAAATCATATTTTTTTTCTCATCGTCCCACATTATAAATTTAATGTAACATATTATTCATAATACGTCATATTGTATTCAACAAATAACCGACGTATTCCTACGAACACGTATTCATTACATGGTTTCGTAATGATTTTTCAATTATCCAATGTGCGAACTGATTTTTGCCACTTTTATAAATGAGATTTAGTTCATTTCTATATTTTGGTCAGAAGTATATAAATGCGTCGTTTTGTGGAAAAAAAAAGAAAATAAAAAAAAAAATTTTTTTTGAAAAAAATTTTTTTTTTCAATTTTTTGAAACATCAAAAAATAGCTGCTAATGAGCTCTAAATTATCCCATATCGAAAACGAAATTTTATTCATTTTTTTATCATTTTATCTGCCAACTTGTAGTAAGCTAGCATTAACGCCGTTTTTCCAAAAACTGGGTTAGCTGATAATTTTTTGAAAACGTAGAAAATTAGCTCTTAATTAGCTTTAAATTATTCGATATCAAAAATCAAATTCTATTGATTTTTTAAATAATTTTTCTGCTAACTTACAAAAAAGGTAGCAGAGACACATTTTTTTCAAAAACGGTTTTAGCAAAGAAATTTGTGAAGGCATATAAAATTAGCTCATAATAAGCTGCAAATTGTCCAATATTGAGAATTCGATTCTGCTACTTTTGCCTGCTAGGTTAACATATGTCAGATTGAGAGTCACAAGGATCAGAGTAATGATCCAAATATAGTACATTAGAGTACAAGGGCACAAATTTCGTTTTCGACGAATGTGAAGTTTACAGGCCGAGCCGAAGGCGAGGTCTGTATTCACATTCGTTGAAAACGAGGTTTATGTCCGAGTGGTCTATACTATTTTATGCCACATTGTGCAGAAATCGAGTTTAAAGCACGCTGCGCGAAGCGTAGCGTGCGATAGACTCGACTTATTGCACGGCGTGCCATAAAGAAACATAGGGGTCAAAAACCAATGATCAGAAACTAAGGATCACAAAGGTTCGATTAAGGGTCAAATCTGGGTCATGGGGGTCATATGGGGGTTGGCGAGCGGAGCGAATATGGGACACAGCCCCCTACTCATTAATAAATATCTTCATAGCGAACTGTTTCAGCTATAACAAAAACTCCTTTGAAATTTCATCTTAAAGCACGCATTTCCAAGCTAATTACATAAACAATGCAGGATTCAAGCTTAACTTTGATGGACTCACCTTGTGGAATGTTTAATCATCTTGTTAATATGTGCTTTTTAAGAAATCAATAAACCTCTCTTGAAATAATTTGTATGGGCTACAGAATAGATATTTTTACACTATGCTATAAAGCCGACAATTACTAAGATTGCATAATTGATGTGGATTTCAAGTTCAACAATGATGAATTTATCCGGTTGAATGATCAATTACGTCGGTAATGAATTATTCCTGATGAAATTGTTAAAGAAATTCCTTTGAAAAAAACATGTTTATTTTTTAAAAAGGTCCCTTGGATTCTTCTGTAATTATGCAGATGTGATATGTTGACTCAAAGCATTTTCTCAACCCTCTGCTGATTTTACACATTCAATTGTTTTGGTTTCGATTTTTTCCTCTGTACGTCCTCTAGCCTTCTCTTCCGATTGCACTTGGGTTGGTTTGTTTGATTTCAATGGAAATGAATTTCAAAATATTTTCTTCTTTGATTCACAGGGTATGGGGAGAGCTAGAGATGATTTGGATATGGAGAGGGCTCTACGACCCAGAATCAACGCCCCTGATGTTGTGAGGTCTACTCTGAGTCATAAGGAACTCAAGTATAATGAGAGTACTATTGATCAACTCCTAGGAACGCCAAATAAAATATTTATTCCTGAGAGATATATTCCTGAACAGGTAGTTATTATGAAAAATTTCTTCAATTAACTCGATGACAATGGCAATCACAAATTCATTAACATGTTTTTCTGGAATTAATTTAACGAATAAATAGATGTACGATAACACGGTCCGACAAAATTTCGACTCTGGCTCTCCCAGTGATGAAATTGCAGGCGTTAGAAAGATTAAATTCTGCAGATTCTGAATCCGTCGACAAAATTTCGCTAGGCCTTCTAGTTTTGGAGAAAAAAAAGTTAAAGTTCCCAAAAAGCCGTAAAACCGTTAAATTGTAAACTCAATAAAAAAATTACGCGTGCACCAATTGGACTGAAATAAAATTTGATGAAATGAGGGAATCGAGATTTGTAAATGGACGGACAGTTTGCTGTAATTGAAACACGGGATAATTTGCAAAAAATTCAGGAAGTAGGCATTGAAAATTACATTTAATCCTCAAAAAAAATCATTGATCAAAGGTCTGAAGTTTTGAGGGTTATCCACTCAGTTTAAACAGTTTTAATGTAAAGTCAATCAATTGGACTATACCACCTGTTGTGCTAGCGATTGCTTAACTTGAGCCGATGAGGAATCTTGCTGCTCGTGGCAAGACTCAGCCTGATCTCTGGGAGAATGAGTTATGCTGGTATTGCAACTAGAATGGACTTATGTGGCGCGCAATTGGTGGATAATAGCATTCTTTACATCCAGGTACTGCCTCTATCAGTATGAGATGAAAATCATGTCAATCGATATGAAGAATGTTAATTAGTTTTATTTCTGAAAGGGTATTCAACTTGGTGCATTTCCATCGCGTTGAGAGATAGCCAATTGGAGGCGAGACGTCTCAACCCTAACGCACCGTTTGTTCACAAGAATTGATGCTTCTCAATGGAGATGATGACACTGGTTGCACTACATCTTCTTCTCCACATTCTTCCCCACCGAGTCCTCCTCTAGAAAATCTCGAATCCTCGAGTAATGTCCTCTCCATCGCCGGTCTCATCAAAACTTTTGTCTTCTTCAGTGGATTCTGAATACCCAGCAACTGTTAGAATTGTTTTCTGCGCTCCGGCTCATGATCTTCCCGGGAATTCTTGCCTACATATTTCTTTTCCTATATAACTTCATTTATCAAAATAAAGTAGAATAATTAATTTTAAGATGTAGCTTTGCAGGCTCCACTCAACTTCGTATTCTATATTTTATTTAACAAATGAGAGCTTGAATTGCTCATTGACAGCAGTTTTTCCATTTAACGTGTCAATAAAAACCGCAATCATGCCCCGCAATTGTACAATTTCTCCTGATTTTTGCTGCTTCGTCTGTGCCAAGTACATGCCTAAACCACAATGGAGGAATATTACGGATTTAGCCAAAGCTGCATACAAAAAATGCTTCAATCGCCCAATGATGAACTTGGAGAAATCATGAACTCCTCATCGATGTTGCTTATCTTGTTACCAACAACTCACAGAATTTGTTACTGACTGTAAAAAAATCAACATTTATCACTCCAGCCATTTGGAGAATCGAGAGATCACTTGAGTGACTGTCATTTTTGCCTGAATGACTTCCGCCGATACGCAAGAAAAGATAAGGATAAAATCACTTACACAAAGGTATCGTCCGTGGATTTACCGGTAGTTGATCGCGGGATCCCAGGAACTTCAGCTCAGTCACCTGTAGAAGTACAGACAGAGAAAAAATCGGGAGAATCCATCGAAGATCATGTTGATGCTACTTACGAGACCCCATCAAGCGCAAAGACTCGAAACGAACCAATTTTCTTCAATCAAGACGGTCTAGACAATTTAATCAAAAACATGAAGCTGACTAAGGAGAATTCAGAATTTTTAGCATCGCGCTTGAAAGAGATGAATCTTTGTGAATCCGGGGTTCGCATCACAAAATACCGTAACCGTGAGTCACACTTGCACCAATTCTTCAAAGAAGAGCCTGAGCTATATTACTGCTTCGATATTGATGAGTTGATGAAGAGTATGGGGATAGAACACGACCCAGACAAATGGTGATTGTTCGTCGACTCATCGACATCTAGCTTGAAGGCAGTCTTGCTGTACATTGGTAATATTTATCCATCACTACCCATCGGCTACTCTACCACCTTGAAAGAAAATCACGAAAATGTTGAGTTTATGTTCGAAAAAATTGGGTATAAATATTATATTAGGTGTACAAATTAATAAGGTGCTTTTTTTCATGAAAATCAGTGTTTATTATGAAAAAACAAAAAGACATTTAACGGTCGAAATATTCGCCATTATTTTCGATGACTTTACTCCACCTCACTGGTAACTGACGAATTCCGTCGCGAAAGAAACTTGGCGGTTTTGACTCAATAAATTCATCCATGCTTTTTCGGACCTCGTCGATTGTTTTGAAGTGCTCATCAGCTAAGTGGTTGTTGAAGTGACCAAAATAGATGGTAGTCGGATGGGACGAGATCAGGCGAGTAAGCCCCGTGAGGGAGAACCTTCCCTCCTAATTCACAGATAATATCCTTAGTCGCTTTGGCGACATGCGGTCGAGCGTTGTTATGTTGGAGAATCACTTGTCTACTTCCGCTGCCAGTATATGGCCTCTTTTGCTTCAATGCATCATTCAAATGAATAAGCTGTTGTTGATAAACCTTCGCAGTAACAGTTTGGCCAGGTTTAAGTAGCTCATAATATATCACACCCTTCATATCCCACCAGATACTCAGCATCACTTTTCTCGCATAGACATTGGGTTTCGGAGTCGACGTCGATGGTTCGCCGGGATTCATCCACGATTTTTTGTGTTTAGGGTTGTCGTATAACACCCACTTTTCATCGCCCGTAATGATTTTGTATAAGAAATCTTTTCTTTTAAATCGAGTGAACAGAGATGGCGCCGTCTCCAGTCGTCGCTCGATCCGAAAGATCGAAATCTCCGTCTCTAAACCTCTGGTACCACTTTTTATACGTTATATGTGTTACAGTGTTTTTTCCAAGAGCACTACAAATCATTTGAGTAGCCTCGGCAGCATTTTTCTTCAATTGAAATGCAAAAAGAATGCAGTGCCTAAAATGTTGCTTATCGACAGACATCGTGTTTAGTACTATTTTTTAAGGTTATGTAAGAAGTATTTACTGCTTCGGTAACTGAATACTACCAATACACAAAATATTGAAATATTAAGTTTTTTAATGCAATTATAAACCGCGAAATATAGGGGCACCTTAGTAATTTGTACACATAATAAATGGCGCATCTCGGCAGACCTGAAAATAGTGGACCTCGTCTTGGGACTACAGCTGGGTTGGACCAAGAATTGCTGTTTCTTGTATCTTTGGGATAGTCGAGACAAATCAAAGCATTGGTTTCAACGTGATGGGCCTACTCATGATTATCTCACTATGGAGAAACAAAATGTTGTAGAAGAACCGCTATTTCCTGAATTTTTTGCAAATTATCCCGTATTTCAATTACGGAAAACTGTCCGTCTATTTACAAATCTCGATTCCCTCATTTCTACAAATTTTATTGCAGTCCAATTGGTGCACGCGTTATTTTTTTATTGAATTTACAATTTAACGGTTTTACGTCTTTTACGACGGATTCAGAATCTGCGGAATTTAATCTTTCTAACGCGGGCAATTTCATCTCTGGGAGAGCCAAGGTCGAAATTTTGTCGGACTGTGTAATCAATTCCAGTTCAGCAAATTAATTTTTTCTCCATTCTTCGTTCAGACTCCAGAATTATCAGCTGAGGAGAAAAAGCAGAGATTAAAAAAAGCTGATGCCATAAGGAAAATGTTGTCTGAGACGACGGTAACTACACCAGAAGGAGATGGTAATTATTTTCCTCCTGAAATTTCAAGAATTCAGGAAAAGTAGATAAGTGCAAAATGGATTTGCACTTGTAACAGTTTATTTGATATGTTTTCAAAAACGAGAACTTTGGAGACGCCTAGGAGAAAACCTTTTTTGAACAGATTTCCATCATTCACAAACAACTATGTCAGTTTTTTCTGAGCCCAGTAGTTTTTGAGCTATGCGCTAAATAATTTCTATGGAATTAAGTTTTCACCCCAGCGGGCGCAAAATACACATTTCATTTTAGGAAAATCTGAATCTGAAAAATACGGTTCTAATGGTAAAGTAAAGGAACCTTACCCGCGGGATTAACATTCCGCACGCCGGAACGGCTCCTTTATTTTACCTCCTTAGGGGGAGACTGCTATCAGTTTTAAAAGTCGCGGACTATTGGAATAAGATTTTTAACACTTTAAGCATGTTTGGAGCAAACGAATAGTAAACAATAGATTGTTTGCATTAATTATTCATATATATTGTGATGTAATTTCCAAGGTTCACGGAACCCCTCGGTCCAATACGCAGCCCTCTGGCACTCACGTAGAAACTAAAACGACAAAAAGTTGAGCGCCAGGTCGTTATTGCCAGAACGACCACTGGAACGAAAGAAACAAAATCAAACTAGCCCTAAGCTCGAAACGGTCTCCCACTAGCTCCAGACGAAGAGACGTGTATCGGTTCCTGAAAGAGCTTAGACTAGAGATGTGACTAGGTGAACAAAACAAATAAATTAAACTCAGAATTGCCGGGGAAAAATCACAGTATTTAATAAAATTTAAATGACTCGATACATTTCAAGATTAATTAATTGAAAACCCCCTATTTGGTTGTTTCAACCGATCAACAATCATATGACTCCAAAATCAAATAACTCTACAATCATCAAAATAATAAAAGATTCTTTTAACAAAAATCAGAAAGTGCACACTTAGTCAAATTACTCAAAACCAATTCTGATAATCAAATTGAAAGATCTAATTATCCAAAAGTAAAAAAAAAACAAATCAAAAGTCAAAAACAATGTCAGAAGAATCATAAAAAATCAGAATCGAAATATCGTCAATACTCATGTAGATTAAACGACACTGAACGATCGAAACCCAAAAATTAGTCTCCGTGACAAGTAAAGCTAGCTGTCCAAAACGAATACGTAAACTCAAGACATCAGGCCAGCGAAACGAACCAAGGTCACGAGACACACAGTAACTCACGTTCAATGTCCTTCGAAATTATCTAAGTTAAATACCATCCAACGAGAGTCCAATCGTAACCGAAATTAAATACTTCAAAATCTCCAGGGTTACGAAACCTTAATGGTTCACCGAATGGATGAATCTAACGTACAAAATTCTGAACCAAAACAAAAAAAAATGAAATCAAAATTCTAAAATAATATATATATATATATATATATACATATATATATATATATTAACGGCGATTTCCCAATGAACCAAACAAAATCGAAAGTCCTCCATCCGCAACGAAAATCCTTGCACGAAGACAGCCGGAGTTTGTCACCTTCGACCTCTCCCGCTTCAACTTTCCCAAAATCCTCCAAAACCAAAACCATAAAACTGTCAGTTACTCTCATGAGAAACTGTCGTTGGGCACCAGTCGATGTTTGACAACACGAAATCAACGAAACCGCAACCGTAACCATAATGAACGAAAAGAGAAAAATCAAAAATATATAACTGGAGGTTGGAAAAAATCAGAGGGAAAGGTTGCGGAATTATGCCTAGCTAACTCGGGAGAAAATTCGGAGAGCGGGGTGGATTCGGTCGCTCGGTCTTAGAAAAGGGGTCGCAGATATAACGAAACAACGAGAAATCCAGTCAGAAAGAATCGAGTCAAAATTCCCTTGATTCTCTATAAAATTGGGAAATTCAAGCGATAGAGAGACTTTGATTAAATGGGAAAAATATCTGGCATTTAATTTATCCACATGATTCAAATACAATCTCAAAAACTCTAATTTCCATTTAACAAAAATTATCTATTGAGAGTGAGAGTAGTCGAGTAATTATTACGAGAGATTTGCGCGAAGGGGAATAGGAGGTTTTGGAGAATTCATGCCACCGATCGCTCCGCATCACAGAATCTGAAGTGCTGGAGGATCTGTAGGCAAATAATACTCCCACATGACGATATGACGGTGAATTAATCGACGGAGATGAAAAGGCATTTGATGGGAAGGACGCGGGGAACAAGAGTACCACTCAAAAGTACCATTTTGCCCCATGGACGTATCCATTCCCCATTGAGAGCTTCGTGGCGTCACGGGAAATTCCTGGAACTCACGATCATACTGAACTAGAAGAGCAAAAAAAAAATTCTAAGAGAATTAGAATTTAGAGAGGAAAAATTTCCGCTTCACCCAGCCGGGAATCGAACCCGGGTCTCCCAGATACGCGCCGGGCACTCTTACCGACTAAGCTACCGGGAACCACAGAAATTCACTCTCAAATTCACCTTAAACACCGCCTAACCTCCTATAAGCATTAAAGAATTCTAAGAGAATTAGAATTTGAGGCTTCAATTCGTTCAAGTGACGATTTAACCCACCGGGTGCACTACAGCTTCACCCACAGAAATTGGAGAGCATGTGTGCACTTTTATACACGTTTTATTACCCTTTTCCCACTAGAGATAATACAGAAACTTTCCCACATGTTCCGAAGATCCTTGTGGACGACTTATGCACTTCTGTGGTGCACTGATGGTCCTACAAAGTCCTCTTTGTGGTCCAAGAGGTACGATGACTTCACGACAAGGCGTGAAGTATGTGCATCCTCTCGTGCCGGCCCTGGACTTCGTCTTCATTGCAACAATGGGTTGACTGGGAGTGTCATCTCTAGGGAGAGGATCAGGGATCTAGACGAGAGTTTTATGCACTCAGTTGGTGCACTTATCAGCTCATCCAGGGGAGTGTTTGGTAGCTGGGAATGCATCTCAGCGTCAGTCATTTCTGAGGACCGGTACAATCTTCGCAGGGGGTTATCTATGGAGCCCACTGTGGAAAAATGCACTTCTCTCCTTGAGAGAGAGTGCACATGGTGAAAGGATGTAGGCTTACTATTTCTCCTCGTGTTGGACATCTGCGATGATCCCTCACCAACTCTCTGGATCCTGTCACTCGTCTCGAGGGGGTCTTCTCCGCAGTAGTTTTTCGACTAACACCTCGTTTGACGGGCAGATGTTCATCGCCGGTGGGCGCGACTGGCGCGCCGTCTGGCTGTCGCCGGGGGCCCATATATGTGGACTAGCGCGCGGGGAGTTTGATTCAAGCGTAATTTTGACGTACTTCGGCGTTAAGCCGTAATTCTTAATCAGAAATTTAATTAAGAGGATATTAACTCTAATTAGTTGTTGGTAATGAAACGAGACTCGGAATGGGGGATTTCTGGGCAGCTGTTCGCCTTCCTTTCTCGCGAATGCACGTTTCACAGGAGTGAGTGCACTTTATCGTCGCTGTCACTCTCCCGGGAGCTATTGGGAAATCACCGATAACAAAACCGTAAACCTGAAGGTAGTCCATGGCAATTCATGCAGATAAGTGGACTAGGTTCACCTGCATGGCCTTCCAGCCGTAGTGGTGACTCCAACAGCTCCACGAAGTGCTTCAGCCGGGGAGCATGAGTATTTCATCTCAACTTCAGTGATCAGCAACGTGGACTCAACGAGATCTCACCGGGAAGCTCGGTTTATCAGATCTGAACCACGGTGGATCTTCGCCTCTCAGGATTTGCGAAGAATTTATCATAAATGAACCGAAACAATAAATACAATTATCTGTAAATTTACTCTAAACTGTAATAACCTAAATTCAACCCCATAAATTCCGAAACAAACCGCGTAGGTAACAAACATTTTGGAGGCAACGAATCATTTATTTTCAATTTACTCGGATATTTGATCACTTATCATTTTTAATGTGAATCGACACTTTTTATTATTTATTTTTGAATTTTATTTGAATCAAACGTTAATTTTTCCCGCGAGGCTAGTATCTTGAGGTTCCTGATGGCTGGTCCCCGTGAGCTGAAGTTAGAATGGGGTGTTGCATCACCCTTGGATAGGGGTGCTAACTTTTAGAATGGAAAAATCGCAACTCTGTCTCGTAAGATCACAGAAATCACTCTATACATACCCACTCTTCACATTTTTATTCGAAATTCTACGATGAAGTCGTGTACAGGTGGCGGAATTTCTCAAAATTTCATCACAATATATATATACATATAATCGATCTGCAATGCATGAGAAATATCACTCCAATCGCCCGCAACTTTTAAAACTCATAGTAGTCTCCCCTTTAGTTACAAATCTATTATTATCTAAATCCCTTCATTAGAGCTGATTTAAAGATTTTTTACAATTCATTCATAAAATATTTTTGAAAACAAGGGGTTTCATCTCCGCAGTGCCTGCACTTATCTCATCTTCACACCTACAAATGTTGGATTGAACAAATTCCCCCAATTTATTTTTGTTATACAGATGAAAATGTTGACATCGAAAAATCCAATACTTTGAAAAAGAAAGTAGCCGAGGAGAAGCGGCAAAGGGACCACATTCTTCAACTCAATCAGATCTTAGCGAAGCAAGTGATGGAGAAGAGTAAAATGGTGGCTGGTATGAGGCTAAAAGATTAAATTATCCAAAAACAGCAATTTGAAAAAGAAAGTGCATGATTCGTGTTGTATCAAGTCTCCCAAGAGTGCCAGCATGAGGGACCGAGTGTCTGAAAACCGAAGAAAAATATTATTTATTTATTTCATCACATTCTCTTCCATTGTCTTTATATTGTGGCATTCCTGTGTTTTTCTCTTCCTTATAAAAGCTATCAGAATTTCGTGTAGAAATACAATAAAAATAGACATTCAACATAATGACCCATGAGACTTCATTAAAAAAAATATACATTAGAAGAATCGAGAACGATTCTTACAATGCGGCATGGCTTTTTTATCGAAAACAATAGAAATAAATTTGTAGAGTGTCGTTTGGAGAACGTTTGTGCTGTGTGTAGGTAACCAGGCGCACTGACCGACATAAAAAAGCTTCCTCCACTCCTCCATATAGGACGCACATCACAATTACTTCAGGTTTGTTTTATTTATTTTTTCGTCCATTAACTCCCACCCACCTCATCTCCATCCCGTGGATTCAAACCATTTTGGGCATTTGTTTTTTTTCTTTTGTTGTAGTGTAAATTTTATAATTAAGTGATCACGGAAGAAGAAAGAGGTGAATTATCCAAGAATATTTGAATTTTTCACACCAAAAATGAAATAATTTCCATTTTTATGGTTGGAAAAATCCTTAATTCCGTAATTCTATTTTATCAGGATTTCAAACAGTTTTCGTAGGTAATGCATTCATAAGGATGATGTCTATAGAAATAGGATTCTCTAGAATATTCTGGATAATCAATTCATAGATTTTTATATATTTTTTCTTGTAAGAATACTCTGAGTATTCATATAGTATATTTCGATACGAGTGCGAATAATCGTTTTATGTTACGGCCCCGTAACATAGAATAGTTTCCACTACGCGGTCCACAAAGTAATTTCTGACGAATGGGATTATAATCCTAGCCTTTGTCCGGAAATGCTTTGTGAACCCAATGATGAAATCTACTGTTTCGCCTCCCACGATAGAGTTGAATGAACTGCACGCAAGTCAAAAAACACTTTTCCAACGATCATCGAACCCTATTTTTCAATACAATGCGTGTGAAGTGGGGTTTCGTACGTCAAATATCAGCCTACGTAAAACGTGATGATAAAATTATTTCTTAGATTATTTTTCCGACTCGGATTTCAGCCAATCAGAGCGCAGTATTTGAGGCTCTCAAACAGTTTTATTTCGGAAATTTCTAAAAAATTTCCGATGGAAATTCACTAGTAGCTTTTCAAATGTTTCTCATCTTTCAACACATTTCACGTTTAATATTCTGTGTGACAGATAAAGAAAAAAGTGGGTCGTAAATGTACGGCTGTGTAAATATATCCGGATGCTGTTCACTGCACTCTGCTTGGCCGAAATCCGAGCGGAAAAATAATCCGTCAAATACCACTCGTGCTTCAAAATTAATCGAATATTTTTGAAGCACTAGTGATATTACTACTGATTATTCCCTTCATTCGAATCTCGATCAATGGGAGCACACGATGTGACATCACGTGGTGTGTATGATATCGATAATTTTCGGTGATACCACGGTTGTTGCAAAATAATAAACAAACGTTTTTCATTGAATTTTAACCTACGTTAATAGGAAACTTGCATGAAGCTCAATTCTTCCTAATTCTCCTATTTACACATTTCTCGCAACATATGGATAGCTAAACAGCGAAAATTATGGAGAAATATTGACTTATCGACGGCGAGAATTATGGAGAAGTCATGACGTCACGAAGACCATCAGGTAATGATCGCATATGCTTCATTGGTCGAAAAAGAAGGGAGTGGGGAGTTGTCGCCCTCCATTGGCCGAGGCGTACTTCAAGATTGGGTTAGGTCGACTCGAGTCATTCTTTGATTGGTCCAATGCTCGACCGTCTGTGTAACGTCATTAGCAATTTCAAAGCATTCGAAATTTTCAACTTTTAACAATTAATTATTAATTAATCAGCAACATTTCAAACGATTGCGTATGAAAAACGAATTATTTAGGTCCCAATCTTAAGATTAGGAAATTGAAAAACATTCATGCAAGTTCCCTATTGCAGAAATATCAAAGAGCAGTGACATTTGTAAAAATCTGTGAACAAAAAAAAGTAAAATCTCAGTCACTATTAATCGAGATTGTAACAGAGAGAATAATCCACCGAATACCCCTCATGTTCAACAACACGGGCGGGCAGATTGGCTCAAAATATGGAACATGCAAGATGGTCTCACACGCGCTCGCGATTTTGATGCTGTCAAACTTGATGCATATGTTACTCAACAGCGCAACTTTTAGGAAATATCCGATAATTTGAAAAATCATGCGGACTTATGACTGATGTAAACCAACGGTAATATGACATTATTGGCTTCCGGATGGATGCCGCGTTTGGTTTCAACATTGCGCCGAAGTTTCGCAAACATTGCAGTCTTCATCTTCAGGGCTATCAGCTCCGATGTCTGGGGGTTGTCCTTATATGTACGATTGGCTGACCCCCCTTCCCCCACCATCACAGGGGAAGACATACGGACAATCCCCAGACATCGGAGCTCAGAATCGGAGTTCATAGCCCTGAAGATGCAGACTGCAATGTTTGCGAAACGTCGGCGCAATGCTGAAACCAAACGCGGCATCCATCCGGAAGCCAATAATGTCATTAATAATGGCCGCGAAAGCCTCAAAACTAAGGCCAACGGTAATATCTTTAGTCTTGGACGGGAATGTCACTGGTTTTCTATTTTCAAAAATCAACAATTTGACGATAGAACCCATAAAAACCTGTAACTTCAATATTGATGCTCAAAGGTAGAGAAATTTCAGTAAGATTGTAATCCAGAAATTATCAATACATGTAGCCGAGTGGGCTAAATACGAATTTGCTATGCACTGATAAAAAAAAAATATTTTTATTGAGATGTTTCTTTCTTGGAATAAGTATTATATACTTAAATCAATTTCAAGTAAATAAGATCATACGGTGAATATCAATTATTAAGTGTAGAAATTAATAAGGTGCCCCTATATTTCGCGGTTTATAATTGCGTTCAAAAAGTTAATATTTCAATATTTTGTATGTTGGGGTAGTATTCAGTTACCGAAGCAGTAAATACTTCTTACATAACCTTAAAAAATGGTAGTAAACACGATGTCTGTCGATAAGCAACATTTGAGGCACTGCATTCTTTTTGCTTTTCAATTAAAGAAAAATGCTGCCGAGGCTACTCAAATGATAGTGCTCTTGGAAAAAACGTTGTAACACATAAAACGTGTAAAAAGTGGTATCTTTCGAATCGAGAACGGCCGGGTCAACCGCAAAAATTCGACGATGAAGAACTCTTGGCTGAAAATTTTGCTCAAAGCCAAACAGAGCTTGCACTACAACTCGGAGTGACTCAACAATGCATTTCTCATCGCTTACATCTACTTGGCGAAATTCAAAAGGAGGATAGATGGTTTCCTCATGATCTGAGCCCCGAAAATAAGGAGCGACGACTGGAGACGGCGCTATCTCTGTTCACTCGATTTAAAAGAAAAGATTTCTTATACAAAATCATTACGGGCGATAAAAAGTGGGTGTTTTACGACAACCCTAAACGCAAGAAATCGTGGGTGAATCCCGGCGAACCATTGACGTCGACTCCGAAACCCAATGCCTATTCGACAAAAGAGGCCATATACTGGCAGGGGAAGTAGACAAGTGATTATGAAAAAAAGCATCTTATTAATTTGTACACCTAATATTTATTTTCGAGATACATTTACTTGAATCAAATAAAACAGTCCTTGGCGTTAAGTCACATGTATTCACCACAAAAATGGAAAAGTTCTATTTTTTGTTGACCTAATATAATCTTCAGTCAAGGAATTTTCAAATTTTATGAATTGATAAAAAATTCGTACCTAGGAGATGATTATATTGAGGAATGAATTGAAGGTTGTTTTCTTGAATGAAGTCGATGTTTAAATTGAGCTTTTCGTACAGTTTGTGTTGAATTGCCGTAATCTATCATTCCGTTATTGTAAACTAAGGCGATTTTTTTTAGTCAAGAAATATAAACTTCTTTCAACTCAATGACATGTTATTACAATGTCAAAGCTCTTTCCGCGTAACAATATACATCTTGATTCGACATACCAAATGCTCACTTCAATTATAATTTACTTTGAACAACGTATGATCGTGTTGATTGAGATAACAACGTATTTAGTCATGAGAATAATTTTGATTTTTGAGTAAACCAATGCATTTCTGGAGTTAGCAACCTTTTGGCCAGAAAGAAATCATATACTCTCTTTATTGCGACAAATAGAAGGAACTTCAATTCTAGAGAAGTTCGATTTCTCCCGATCAAATGTACCTCAAAAAGAAATAACTGGTATTCACTTTAAATCATGTTTATTTGAAAATTAACAACCAAAGGATAGTTGGTTCAAATGAAATTCTCTTGGTAAAATTAATTTTTTCTGTCAATGTGTAGAAAGTTGCAAGTTCGACTCTGACGTTGGGTGAATTTTCTATATTAGAGACTCCGAAGAATGGAAATTTATTAATAGAGTAACTGCTTGTATTGGAATCGATTCCCTGTGTTTCCCTCTAATAAGATCCTAATTAGAGTGTGAATGTGGTGCAGTATAGAATCCACAGTTGCATACATAGGGCCGAATTGAAAAGTAGAGTGCCGAATCAAACCTGAAAAACAAACTATGAGGAGAAAAATGACTCCAAGATGTCTAGAAACATTCTTCGATTCGTAATAAATTGATTTGTTATCCAAAATATAAAATTTAGCTGAAAACCGAAAAAAAAAAATTATAAGAACCATCTCTATAAAAATTCTTGGAGTATTTATAAAATATATTCATAGATTTTTTTTATAGACCGGAAATTTCTTTATAACACCTCATGAAACTCTATTCTCTTATTCATTTATGCAGAATGCTTATATTCACATTTCCTAACGATTCTAATGCAATTGTCCAAATTTCTCACGAAAGGGAACTGACACATATTAGATGTACAAATTAATAAGGTGCTTTTTTTCATGAAAATTAGAGTTTATTATAAAAAAACAAAAAGACATTTAACGGTCGAAATATTCCCCATTATTTTCGATGACTTTACTCCACCGCACTGGCAACTGACGAATTCCTTCGCGAAAGAAACTTGGCGGTTTTGACTCAATA